AAGTTTTTCTTCATTACCCATTCAAGCTGTCTCCAGCCATTATTAGTCTCAAAGTGGGTTCCTCGTCATCGAATTACCCAATCTTATTTTTTTCTTGCCCTCAATTGTTGAGTGGAGTTAAGCCTAATTTTTTTTTAGCATTTATGGTGAAGCACTTAATAATTTTTATTTACTTAAATAATACCCCAAAGAATATAGACTAATAACATGCAAAAAGTAGACAAATTCACTTACTTCTAAAAATTTTCCTAGCTTTCTAACTATGAAACAAGAGCAGTTAGAAATTCATCCAAGCTAGTCGTTAACTTTCCCACGGGAAAGATGCTGCTACTCAGAGTGACATTGACGGTTATCTGTTCAAAACACAATGTTATACAATACGCCATTGATAGATGAAAATCTTGACATTCTATTGGTTATAAATATTGTATGAAACATAAGAGAGAACTGTCAATCATGTGTGGCAGGAGGGGTCTGATTTTCTCTTTGATAGCTCTGTGACAAAACAAAATTGAAGGCCATTGAAGGTCTGTTTGAGCAATAATGATTTTATAGAAAGCATTTTACATTTAATTTCGTACATTTTCGAAGGGTGATGGATAAAATAGGGATGATGACATGCTAAGACAAAATTTGTCATGTGTGTTACACTAGTGGAAATTCAGGATTTGTTTATATATTTCCCTTTAGAATTAAGAACTTAAAACTTCTATACTATTAAAATATGGATTATTAGCTAAGATTTTATGCTATTCTAATTAGTATAACATAAACAAAAAGTAGTTTAATAAAATTTTGAATGTAAGCCATTAAAACCTTGTGTCATGCGCAGTAAAGGGTACCCGTGATGATAGGGTTAAATTGTAATTCTAATAGCTCTAGTATTGTACTTGTAACTTCATATGTTTATGACTTTTTTTTTTTCAGGATTGGCAGCAGGATTGGGAGTGGGGGCCATTGCTGAAGTGACACGCCGTAAATTAGGGTTAAAACAGAAGGAAGAAACAACGACTACATCCATACTAGACAGCAATCCATTTCTAACTGAGGCAAATGCTAATAGAATAGTAAACACACTGTGCCGAGTTCGAGGTGCAGCTCTTAAAATTGGACAGATGCTTAGCATACAGGGTAATTGTTTATTATATTCACAGCAACTGTTTCGTTATTAATATTATATTTCAAAACAGATTGTAAATGGAGAAATGTAAACAGGCCATCCAGACAGAATTAAAATTTATTTATTTTTTTAGAAATTAACATTCTTTTCCAAAGAATATCAGGTTGTGATTGCTGATAATTCTAGTTTTTTTGTTTCTGAATGTGGTCTTGTTTACCAGCTCTGTGTTTAGGCTTCAATTTCCCTGTTCTTTTCCTTCTTGAGGTCCCTGCTGATTTTTAATGTATGATTGTTTGTAGGCAATACATTAATCACTTAGTGTTTATAACTACTGTTCCTAGCCCTGTCTGCCCTAACAAGGCAGACTAGTGGTAGTAGGCCAGTAGCCTTTTAAAATAGGGGTACCATTATTGAGGTGGCCACTCACTAGCCAATAGAGTATAAAGATACCTTCCTACTTTTGAATAGCTTCCCTGACACAAAACCTTATTCTGATCAGCCCTGTGTTGCTTCTACCTTCTAATAACAGAGACTGGCAAAGTGTCCTCAATGTTTGATGATCTGTCTACCTACTCAGAATTTGTCACACTATGTGGTACAGCTTGCATATCTAAGTTGTGTTGTTCATTGATCCTATATTCAGATATCTATCTACTCTAATGTTGTGCACAGCTAGGCTCTAGGTGGTTAATACTGAAACAGATCTTACCAGTAGATTACTTTCTATATCAGATTGATGCCTGATCATATACTAAAACGAAACTTAGCTAACTCTAACATGAGTGATAATTCTGTACTTATACTTACAGTTAAAGACACAATAACATTTTAATGTTACTGTTAATACTGTTGGTCCTACAGCAATTACCCATACTTCGTCTACAGTGGCTTCTGGTCTGCAGTTGTCAGTGGAAGATGTTACAGCCTTGGTTTGGTAAAAGTGGGCTGCTTTCATGCAGGCTTCAGATTTGCCTGACAATTATACTGTCATGCCTTGTTCAGGGGCACCTGATCAAGAGGATGATGATTTCAACAGCCTGTTTCCTCCCCCATCCTATGCCACACAGTCATGTTTAGCTCCTCCTTGTCCCCTCATCCTTGAGCTCTACGGGTTATCTCTGAAGGGCTTATTTTTCATTTTTCTTCCCCTCATCTCATTTTCTTCCCCCTTTTTAGGATTCCATTTCCAAATTGCATCTATCTGAGGCAGTTCTAGATCTTCTTCACAAGGGTTCTGTGAAACAGGTGGATCCTTTGTTCATTGTCCACAAGAAGACCGGGGACTGGTGCCCCATCGTTGATCTTTCTTCTTTGAACCATTTCATAGATCTTTCTTGATTCATAATGGAGTCATACCTTTCTCTTTGATGGGTTTTCACTCCTGGTCTATGGATGATGAAGATAGATATCTCAGATACTTACCTCCACAGTCCCATCTACCCAAGCATCCTGGCATTTTCCTTGTTTTGTTTATCTGGGTTGCATCTACCAGTTATGGCCTTTTCCGTTTAGGCTGGCTTTGGCTTCCTTTGTTTTTGTTTTTTGTTGGGTGGTCAAGGCCTTTGCCTGTCTTATCCATTCCAGGAGCCTTTGTTTCCACCATTACATGGATGACTGGTTGCTTCTAGCTCCTTGGCATGCCACCCCTTACCTTCACACTCAGTTTCTTCTTCGAGTAGCTGCATGGTTAGGTTGACTGTTCAAGGGGGAGAAGTCCTTCCTTGCCCCCACTCAATACCTTGCTGATCTCGGGGTATTATTCCAATTCCCATCTTAGCCGGGCCCAACCTTCTTCCCATTTTCTGTGATCTATGGAGCTTCTGGTTCAGATCACTTCCTCCTTTACTTCTCCAACTGCATGACAGGTTCTATCTCTTTTGGGGATGTGGGCTTCTTTGGAGACTCTCATTCCCCTCAATCGAGCCTACATGCGACCACTTCAGTGGACTTTACAGGATCAGTGAAACCTCGTTTGGGACCCCTTGGATGCATCTATACTTCTCCCTCCTTCACTTCATGTGGACTTTTTCTTTGTGTTTGAACAGAGACAACACATCCAAAAGTGCACCTCTTCATAGATGTTTCTATTTTGGGTTGGGGTACATATCTGGACACACAGGAGATTTTGAGACATTGGTCTGTAGCAGAGTCATGTCGGCATATCAGTCTCCTAGAACTGCTCACTGTTTGTCAAGGTTTGACTCGTTTCCTTCCATCTCTCCAGACCTAGTTGGTTATGATCCATTCCAATAACCACACAATTGTCTAGTAAATCACTTGGCAAGGGGCACTCGGTCAAGGTCTCATTTTTCCACACATTGGACCTCATATTTTGAGCTCACAGCCATCACATTTGATTGCTGGCATGTCCTTTACCTGGTGCCCTGAATCTGGTCATGGATTGTTTATCATGCCCTGACAAGATTCTCCTCACAGAGTAGTCCCTCGACCCACAATTGTTTGATTGGCTATGCTCCCAGTGGGGTACTCCAGTATTGAATGCATTTGCTACCAACCTGAATTCCAAGCTTCCCAGATTTTGGTCTCCTATTCCCTATCCTTTGGCTGTAGCTGTCAATGCCCTCATTCAGCATTTGGGGGGCCATTACCATTATGAATATCCTCCTATCTGTCTTCTTAAACCACTCCATGTTGAGTCCTCTTGGTGGTTTCACTTTGTCCAGCACAGCCATGGTTTTTCACTTCTGTGCCCATTCCTACGGACACCTCCTCTACCCCTATCACCCACCCTTCTCAAACAACCTCAGTCGGGCACACTACATCCTTTCTTTCTAACTCTCTGTCTTCACATGTGGCTTTTGTCTGGTCTTTTGCCAGACAGGCTAAACATTCTCCTCAGGTTGCTTCCCTGATTTCTCATTTTGATTGCTCTTCCACCATGCTAATTTAACAACATAAGTGGTATGTCTGCCACCATTGGTTTTCACGTCTTTTCCTCTCCTGCACCTGACTTCCTTCCATACCTGGCTTTTGGACAAGAGGCTGTTGGTATCCACTGTTGCTGGTTATTAACGAGAGGCATTGTCGGCCACTTTCTATTTCACAAGATTTCACAGTGTCTTTAATTCTTCGTTCCTCACCTTTTTATTTCATTCTTTCTGCCTTTGCTGTCCCCACATCCTACTGCACTCCCTGATTGGAACATCAATGTTGTCCTCCATGCCCTCACTCTTCCTTCCTTCAAACCCATGTAATCCTGTTTCTTATATCATCTCTCCTTAAAGACCTTTTTCCTCCTTCTCTTGTCTTGTAGATGTGGATATTCAGATGTGTTCACTTTCAATGTCTCATGCACATTATATCACAGGTCCTATGTCATCCTCTAACCTGATCAGTCTTTCCTACCCAAAACTTAGACCACACATGAGAACGAATTAGCCTTCACTCCCATTACCCTCCCTTCCATTTGTCACCTTTATCCTCATTCTAATCTGGATCAACTCTTATGTCCTGTCTGGAGTCTCCACTGTTGCATGGCTCACATTGATCCCTTCTGTGTTTCCTGTTCCCATTTATTTATTCATTGGAACCCTTCCCTTTTTTGTTATATTTCTCCTATTACCCTTACGAGTTTGATGCGGCAGCTAATTCACCTGGCTTATTCTTCCCTCTCACCTGATGACTGTCATCTCTTCCAAGTCCCCTTGCATCAAATCCATCACCTTACCATGTCCATGGCTGCCTGATTCCATCATCCATTAGAAGATGTAGTTCATGCTGGCATGTGGACCACTCCCCATACATTTATCTCATTTTATCTTCATCATCTGGCTGTTTCCTGCCTTACAGGTTACTGTTTACCTCCTGTCACCATCTTGAGCTTCACAGTTTCTCTGTGAGATGGTAGGTGCTCTTTTTATGCTTTTCTTTTCTACAAGGGCCTTTCTTGCATATATGTATTCTGCTCAGTGACAAGTATTGCCTGACCAGGTATACTTATTCTTAAACTCCCACTGTATGACCATTCAGGTAAATATTACCCAACATTGAGATGGGGTAGTCTGTAGGACCCCTTGTAGGTATTTCCTTGCAATGTTTTGCATCATAAATATGTTTGCCCCAGACTAACATGAGTAAATCAGAAGAGGATTCTTGCCCATCCCTCCAACTCCTTAGTTTGGCTCCATAAGAAATGGTCTGTTTTTCAGTATAAGGTTTGGCAGTCACCTGTTGCACTATCCACTATGTTGCGTTCATCAAGACTCTCCAACACTTTATTTCTCCCCCCACATTTTCCCAGTATAATACAGGAGGCTTTACCACTTACCAGCTTTTAGTCACTGGAGTGGTGAGCCATGGAGGCATCCTTCTCAATGTGCTCAATTCCACTCATTTGAGAGTAGAGAGGTGGTGTTCTGCCAGTATAGATGGTGTATAGACTCTCCTCCTACTGCCTACCTGATGTACTATTCCAGATGCTGCCTGGTTATGGACTGGATGATTTCCACCACAATGCACTTCACCCCTCTGGCTGAGCACTCTTCTTCCTACTGTTGCCTGGATGTTGGTTCCTAGAGGATACTGGTGTTGGCTGGAACTGGACCAGCCACATAAGTCCTCACATGTAAGTAGTCCAGGTACCCTCCTTCTACTGCGGACTGGATGATTAATTCCCAATGCTGCCTGGTTCTGGACTGTAGTTGAACTGCCACATTGCTGTCCACCTTTCTACCATTGTCCAGATGTTGGTTCCTGGAGGGTACTGGTGTTGATTGTGTTGGAATTGCACACATGATGGTCCTTGGAACGGAAGATCTTGCCTTCCAGTTCCCATGTCCAAGGTAAGCGGTAGAGGACCTTCTTCATGCTACGACGCTGGGTATTCCTATCATGGTACTGTTAGTGGTGGTTGAAGTTGAACTTCCCCTTATGATCCACCTTGCCCTAGCCACTCTACATTCTTTTAAGTTCTGTTGTTCCTCCTGTGATACCACCTTTCTTATGACACATCATTTTCATGGGGGGAAGAATATACCTGACTCAGAAGTAGTGTAGTCTCCCACAGGTGTTTCCTACATACTCTTTATTCACACACCTCATCTAGGTAATGTTACACCAGTCCCTCCACCAGGTCAATGTGGAATTCTAGCTATTATGTGAGTGGAGATATCATATTAAAAGTTAACATTTTCCTACACCGATATTGTATTTCTGATAGATTCTTGCCTCTGCTTACACTTCCCACCCTTCCTCCCCACTCTCAAAGAGAAGCTTAGCTAAGTTGCAGAGAAGGGGTCAGCTGTTCTAGGAGTTGTGCTTCACTCTTATTGGTGGAGGGTTGTCACATGCTCATTTGCTTGCTATCACGTACCTGCCTCATGTTAAAACACATGAGAATAGTTAAGATTATCCAGGCTAGATGTGAGCTAAAATTTATGCATATAGAGGGCAGTACAAGTCAAGAAAAGCTATTGTGTGTGAAGAGTACAATCTATCAGAAATAAATTTTCAGTGTAGGAAAAACTTTTGTCACATATGCAAATCAGCAAGATAGGCTTAATAACAATATATTCTTCTTTCTATTACTGTAAAATAAACAAGCATTATAAAGGGGTATATCTGTATTTTCAGATAACTCTATGATCAATCCACAACTTCAGATTATCTTTGAACGAGTACGTCAGTCTGCTGATTTTATGCCATCTTGGCAAATGGAAGTAAGTGAAACCTTTAGCATCATTAATAACTTTGTTTTAAATCTTTTTGAGTATTACAGAAACTTTCATCATACATTACTTTAACCATTACCACAACAATAAGTAACATTTAATTATAATGTATATTTAACTGGAACTGTGAATATTTAATATGATGTATAAGTATGAAATATTTTTGTTTCTAAAAAAAAAGGTAATAGGTAAAAGTGCATGTCATGACCTTTTGACAGTTACATTCAAAACTTAATTAAACTACTTTTGTACCAATGTATTTTAATAAAATTAACATCAAACATAGTTAATAGATCAAATTTTAATATTATACAAGCTTTAATTTCTTAATTTCAAAAGGAAGTATTTAAATAAATTCTCATTCTTCACTTTTTGTACCATGTGACATTTGTTTGCTCCAAATTGCATACTTTAAATAATCTTTTCTGCCCTTTTTGAGCTTTTGAGTTTTAATATAAATTCCAAACTTATCTTATAGATATTGCTAAGATATAAGCTAACTTTATAGCCTCTAATCATCTTGTTTTACATGGATATAAACCAGAAAGTCCAATCCATGTGAAACACCATACTGTCTTTCAAAAAATCTCAGTAATTCTCTCTGACATTTGCTATTACATTATTTATAACCAATAAAAAGAGGAGATTTTAATTTTCTGATTTGTGTATAATGATAACTCATTCTCTTGACAGCTTTTGAATTATTCGGCATACAGATTCAAAATTGCTATCACAGAGCTCAGCTTGACCAGCTAAGGAAATTATTTTAAATCTCTTATAGCTTAGTTAGAAAGCTAGTTAAATTATAATAGTTATAGGACATTTTATGTTTTGTGTATATTATCATTGTGTTCTAAGTTAAGAATTTGAATTAAATGAAAATTCAGTAAAGTACTAACAACAACCCTAGAAAAAAATTATGGTTAAACTTTTATTGATAATTCAAGTCTTTGACTGTAAAAAAAATACAAGGCCAACACATAAATACAGAATTTCTTCTTCTTTTATAGATATTTTATTTATTGTTATAAAAGTCACTAAATGTAAAAATTGGACACTTATTACGATAGATAAAAAAACATAAAAGAGAAAAAATGAAATAAGAAAAATTTCTCCGTGAAGTATGCACATGAGAAGTTTATGCATTATGTAATTCAGCACCATAACTTGACAACGTGACTAACCTGAGATATTTCTCAGGTCTGGGCAGATCTGGTGTATTTCCAAGATGTGGACAGATCTGACATATTTCCCAGAACCGGACAGACATATTTTTCAGATCTAACATTGTAAATTTTTTTTCAGGTCTGGAATTTTTATACTTCTCATACTGAAGAAAGCAAATTTGAGTTTAAAAAAAAATACTGCACAGAATTTACATACAAAAGAGATGTTGGAAGCTAATGTCTTGCTCTTCAAATCAGTTTGGATCGTCTGTAATTAAAATACATTGTGTTATGAAATTTGGTCATCAAGCATCATATATAATCTGTAGTGTGCTTTATGCCTTTTAAAAGTACTGTAGTGGTTTTTAAAATTCATTATTAATCTAGTACTTATCTATCCAACAAAGTTTAGAACACTACCAAATTGTAATTATTAATTTTCAGCAATAAATTATATTTCTGGAAATCATAATAGAACAAGTTTTAAGTATGAATAAGTTAAATTAAAATTTTAGACCTAGTTTTCTTATATTCTTTAAGAAAGTGATGGTGCAAGAATTAGGAGAAGAATGGCAGAACAGGCTACATTTTTTTGAGCCCAAACCTTTTGCAGCAGCATCCATAGGACAAGTTCACCTAGCTACACTCCATGATGGGAGAGAAGCTGCAATGAAAATACAGGTAGATTTATAAATGATATCAAAAATATTTTCTTACATTCATCTCTACACATGTATGCTATTTGTTTATACATTTTTTGGATTGTTTAAAACAAGTAACCTAATAAATGGTTGAGTTTATAAGAATTTTAACCAACAATATTTTCGTTAATGAAAATGAAATCAAAATGAAAAATATTGAATTTTCATTAACAAAAACTCAAACAGAATTTTTTCTAAATGATAATTAAAAAGAAAATGAAAATATATTACTTAAAACTAAATGTTTCTTCAAAATGATCACAAATGAAAATTAAAAATCTCAAAAGGTACTGGAAAGAGTAATAAGGATCAGTCTGTGAATGTTACTGAGTTTATTAAGCATAACTGTCAGCACAGAGTAAGCCTTTTTGTCACATGCAGTCATAATGGAGACTAATTAATATAAACAAGTTATTTTTCAAAATTATTTTGTAAGTTGTATATTGTAAGTTTAAATATTTATCTCTGCTGTCTGATCACTAGAAATCAGTGTTGTTTTTATAGTCTGGATTCTGGAATATAGCTTACATTTGTACGTTTTGGTTTTTTGAAAGAAGGGGACTAATTGGCTAAAATTATATTTTTATTACTTTTCATTTAATTCATATATTGTTCACATGACAAGATGTAAATTGTCAGAGTAAGTACTAGTAATTCTATATTTAAAACATTTACTCTCTAAAAAAGTGTTTTAATTTAAAACTCAAAATGGAATGGAAACTAAAATTAATGTCAAATACTCAAAACTAAAACAGAAACTATTATCAAGTAAGCAAATCGAAATTAAAACTAAAAGTGTAGTACCAAAAGTAAAACTGTTACTAACAAGCAAAATGAAATAGAAATTAAAACTAAAAATATGTAATCACTAAAACTAAAACTACTTTTAACAAGCAAAACGAAACAAACACTAAAATTCTTTTTTGAAACTAAAATATCACTGATTTGAACCCTCTCAACATGGGCTCAATAGATTGGACCGACCATGTGAACTTATTGTACTTGATTAAAGTCTTTATAGATTTGATACTACAGTAATCCCTCTTTGATACGACTGACCTATCTGCCATAATAAAAAAGTCGTTAATCAAAGGATCAATAATAAATGACCGAGTTCAGGCTGTGCCAGCTGCTATTCCAAGGGGATGAGCATAATGGTTTATATACTGTATAGGAGTCAGGTAATGTAGCAAGTTGATACACTGTATAATAATAGTTATCAATAAAGATAACTTAAAATTGTTTTGTTTGTGTTTTATGTAAAATAATTTATTCATCGATCATATTTATTTCATAAACATCACATATCACATTTTTATTAAATACATATAAAATATTACAAACTGACACAAAATGTATTTCATAAAAAATCGTCTATCTTTGTTTGTTTTGAACATTTAATGGAGTTACTTTGAATGTTCACGAGTCTGACAGTTATTTCATCAAGAATCGTTTCATTCTTAGTTTTCAGCGGACAATTTTTGTGTTAATTTATAAAATAACTTGCAATAAATGTCCAGAATTCAGAGAAACTGGAAAAAAATTGGAAACCAGATTCACTGAACATAATAAAAATTACCATCCCATATTTACCACCATTGCAGATAAAAAAATCCACAGTATATCTATACAAAATACTGTAATTTTAAACAAAGAACCAAACATCGGAAGCTACGAACAAAACAGCCACACCCTAAACCAAAATTTCACCTTGAAACTTGGATCCTTTGATTCCAGCTCTGAAAAAGGACCATTCCGTGAAATTAAAAGGACCAGTAAAAAAATAAGAATAAATATCTGAACTAAATTATTGCTGGACTCTAGCCAATACCTTGTAAGCTTATTCTGTCTGAATACAAATACTACATAAAATGAAATATGTTGCATTAAAACAATTTCAAGTTGACTAAAAATTCTCTAATTTCCATTTTTTGTTTATTTTTTTCTTTTGTCCCAAATTTGGTCTATATTAACATCCACATCACGTTTCTCAACACTTTGAGCCTCCTTTTTCACAACAACTTCCTATTCACAGTTTGAGACATTCGCAGGTTTCACTGGTGCTTTGAGGCATTTCATTAGCCATGTTTACTGCACTTGAGTCTGTCACTCAACAAACCCTGAGTTAATAATCCTCACACCCTGCTAGTATAGTAAATACTAATCATGTTACTTAACGTCTAGGTCACTAGTTCAAAATCTATTACATTCACTAAAAGAAGAAACCTTAATTCCGTGAGCAGGGCGAAGACAAATAACAGTTTCTGACCACCCCTGGTTACCTTTCAGGACCTGAAAGTTTTAAAAACAAAATACCAATGTACATGTACCAAGGAGTTTGACTTGAACACCCCAGGGTACCAAGATACATATATAAAACTGAGCTGGAAGGAATCTCCAGTTATGTGACCTCTTTGTTCCATACTGTATACACAGTGTTCATGTCTCTGTAAATTGCATTATTCATATGAAGAAAAGTCATTATAGAGAGGTCTTTATTCGACCTTCTGCCCAAAAATCACAGTCACATGTCGCATCTGTCAGGAAGTCGTTTGTGGGAGGTCACATCAATGTAAAATTGTTACATGCACAGAAAAAAAAGTTGTATTTAAAAGGGTTCTTATTGGGAGGGGTCATATCCATCAGGGACTACTGTACTACTTTTTAGTATAATATGTCTACACAAAATTTGGCAGTCCTTCAGTAAACATTATAAGTCTTTTACATACAAAAAGTCATATTTTTTAGTGCAGTATTTTTAAAAACTAAAAAAGTTGTTTGTGAATATGTCAAGTACTTGTTTTGAATAGTCCATTTGCAAAGTGATTTTCATGTTAAGATTCAGAATACTTTTCGTCATCTCAAAAATATAAAATTTCCTTTGTGTAATCTCTAAAAACTCCTAATACATTTCAAACATTTGCTTTCAGTAAAACTTTTTAGTTTGTCAGTTATTTTCTCTACTCTAACTGTATATGGGTTTGGGCAATTTAACCAACAAAAATAATCTAAATTAATCTAATTACCCTATTTTTCTTTTTATAATGAAATTACATTCATTTATCCTGAGTAGCTTTAAACTCATAACAGTATAGAGCTATTTGTAATTAGATTTTATTATTTTATTGCCCTTTGAACAGTGTCTAACTACTGTTCGTGCTATTATAAGTTGTAACTCACTTAGGGAATGTGGAGCTCATATTATGCTATTGAAGTACATCACTCAGAGTTGCTTGCATGCGTACCTCATAAAACATTTTTATTATATTATTATCTATTTTATCTAATCTAACTTTAACCTAAATAGATCCCTATTTTTACATTTTAGTTACTTTTATAATAATAATAAATAAAGAATGAGCATGAAAAACAAAAAATAAAGTACTTACCCAAGTATTCTTATTTTTGCTGTCTACGACACTTAACCCTACTTTTTTTTTATACTAATGGTAGTTGTGTATTAACCAATTTTTATTTAATTAAATAATGAACAAAGAACATGGAATAATAACATGCAAAAAGCAGACAATTTCTTCTCACAATCACAATTTTTCTGGCTTTCTAACTATGCGACAAGAGCCATTACAAATTCATCCAAGCTAGTCATTATCTTTCCCATGGGAATGAAATTTGTGTTAAAAGTGAAATTGACACTTCTCTGTTCAGAACATAATATAATATGTCATTTTATAGATGAAAACCTTGGCTTTCTATTGGTTACAGACAATATATAATTAAACTTAAGAGAGAACTATTAACAAATCCTGAAAGAGAGGATGTGACAGGTGGGTGTGGCAAGAGGGGTCTGATTTTCAATTTGATAGCTCTGTAACCAAACAAAATTGAAGGCTATAAAAATTATGGTGTGTTTGAGCAATGACGATTTTATAGTGAGTAACTTATGCTTAATTTTGTAGTTATTGAAGGGGTAGTGGATAAAATAGAGAAGAGGACATGCCTAGAGAAAATGTGTCATGGGTGTCACACTATTGGAAATTCAGGATTTTTTAAAATATTGCCTTATAAGATTTAGAACTTAAAACTTATATACTATTAAAATATGGATTATTAGCTACAATTTTGTGTTATACTATATGGTATAATGTAAACAAAAAGTGGTTTAATAAAATTTTGGATGTAAGACCTTAAAACCTTGTGTCATGCACAGTAAAGGATACCCGTGGCAATAGGGTTAATGATCAACAGATAATTTTATTTGCATTTTCTGTAATTTTGCAGTTGAACATAAGGTAACATCTGTGTTCATTTTATTTTTTATTTGTTAGGATTTAATAGACTGTTCTGAGAATATTACTGTTTTTAAAAACATTCTAACGAATCATCCTTACTGTACTCTTTATTTTATTTTACTAGACTCTTGTAAGATATTTTTACTGTAGAGATATTGATAGATCCAAACAAGCCTTGACTGTTAAAACCTTGGATGTATCATCAGTGGATTTTTCTAAGTCATTCTTCGAACAGTTTTCCTTATATTTTGTGAATTAAAAATGAATTCAAACCACAATTTTTTCTCTTCATATTATTTTCCTATTTGATTCTGAACATTTTAACATTCAGAGTAAAATGATATCACATTTTTTTGTACTTTCTTATTGCCGTTTAACTGTTTTTTGTTGAAATGTAATGAATAATTAATCACTATGTAAGGTACTTTTCAAAGGCTTTCGTGTACTAGTACTTACAAACATGTACTGTTCTTTTTCTAAAACTTTAAAAAATGTACCATCCATATAAAAGACATTATAAGTTCAAAGTTTTATATTATCTAGTTGTAATTCCTTTATTTCAAAAGAAACTTTAAGGATAAATTCTTAAACTTCAGTTTGACCTATAACTTCACAAGATTATAACTTTTTGCCTCTGTAACTTAAATAGTTCTTTCTGTACACTCTACTTCAATGTATTGACCGAAACTAATTTAATTGCTCTGTTTACATATTCTTCTTTGGAGCCTCTTATGTGATGTTGGGAGGAAAGAGAAATACATTTCTTGGAACTCTTGATGGATACCACACACACACACACTCTACAATTACAGTTGCAATTTCTCAGCAAATTATACTTGTTTGACTTAGATGTTTGTAACCAATAGAAAGACCACATTCTAAAATACTATTTTCCAACAGTTATTTTAATAGAGAGCTTGTTAAATGCTCTTAGCATTGTTGCTGCTTGCATCCAGGCTAGCACTTTAACATTATTTCTCACTTATAAATACGTTAGTTAGATAGACAATTAAATTTTATTTAGTTTTAATTTTATATTTTCATCAATTATGAGTTAGTTATGTTTTAAAATGCATTTTAGAAAGGTCTAATAATTTTTTAAATTACAAGCAAACTGCTTCAGTTATATCAGGCTCAGTGTAGTAGGCAAATGTCGTAATGTTATGACAAGGGCTAAAGTGTCACTGCCAAGAAAACCCCAAGAACACCCGAATATGTGTGTCATGATAAGTAATAATGCTAAAGAATAGTAAAGGAAAATAAACATTAAAAATAAATATTTTCTGAAAAAATAAAAACTTACAATTAATAATATAAACTAATAAGATTTTCAAGACTATTTGCTGAAAAATTTCAATGGTAGGTACATTTTTTAATTTTTAATTGTAAACATTTCATTGCGCAATATGTTGATGATAATATTTGAAATATTCAAAGTCTGAGTGCAAATAACTATGATACAAAGATAACAAATCTTTAAGTAAAATACTTAATTAAAACAATCTCATTCTTTGTGCACAAAATACTTGTAGCAAAATCTTACCAATTCTTATGAAGATATATTAAAAAAGCTCTGAATTATTGTAAGTATTGTTGGACTGTGTATAATTCTCCGAGATGTATCCAAATGGGTTCAATTCTGTAACCATAAGATTAAGTACTTGGGAGAAGTTCTCCTGGACTTGTATTTGTGTCCATAAAGTACATGTAATGTTATGTTGTTGATCATGTTTCTCTTATTTTGTTATCAATATAGAAAATACATAAAATATATAGCTTATATCTATGGGTATTAATAGCAGATGTTTATAAATTTGAATGTTTATTTAGTTTTAATTTTTCAATTTGATGGATAAATACAGTGGTGAAAAAATTATTGCATCACCCAATTTTTTCTCACTTTTCTTCCAAATCATTTATTTAGAGGTCTTAATGTGCATAGGTGCAAAGTTTCATGGATGATCTAGTAATTATTACATTAAGAGCTTTATAGGCTGTCTGGGTATTGCATCAGCCCTTTTGGGCTATAAGTAGTCAGTATAGACACCTATCTGCATCAACATGCCAAGGGTTGTGAATTAACTCCATGGAAAAAAGTAGCCATTGTTTATTTTAGCAAATAGGAACTTTTGACAAAACAGATTGCTAGGAGAATTAAATTTAACCAGCCTCTGTGAGTCCCTGAGTGCAAAGATATAAAGAGACTGGCTGTGTGGAGTGGTGGAAGGGAAGGGGTAGAATAAAGAAATTTCCACGGCAGCTAACTATCACATTCTGAAATGCACGAGTCTGCAGGATCATTCACTGTTGTCCACAGATCTCAAAAGAGCATGGCAGGAAACTTCAGGGGTTACTGTCACCATCTGCATAAGTTAGCTCATCTTCTAGCAAGATGGTCAAGAAAGAAACCCTTCCTCGCTAACAAGATGAGGCTCAGCTGGACCAAAGAGCATTTGACTGGATTGAAGCAATGTGATCTTATCAGGAAAATCAAAGTTCAGCCTACATGTGTCTGATGGGAAGCACTTTATACTATGTTGATGTGGAGAAAAATTTCATCCATCATGTTTGAATACAACTGTCAAGCATCAGCAGTGTCAGGTTAAATAGAGATGCATCTCTGGCTATGGTGCAGGATGCCTGTAGTATGTGAAAGATACTGTGAATGCCAACAAATACATCAAGATCCTTGAGTCTCAGTTAAAGCTAACAGTTCAGGATCACTCTGGTGGAGCTGACCAGTGCATATTCCAGGATGACTATGCTACATGCCACAGAAATAAAAAAGTTAGTAATATTAATGCAATATATGCAATAGACATAAAATAAAGAGGAAATTTTACATGTATTAAAAAGACATCTTGGGTCTTATTTCATTGCTTCAGGTAAAGAACTATCTTTGAAGAGAGAGAGAGTCAAGACACTTTGTTGACCAGGCAACAGCCCAGATCTCAATTCTGTCAAAAACTGTTGGAAGGTAATTGGTAGCAAAGTGCAAAATAATAAACTGAGAAGCTCCTTGTAACTGCAGGAAGCCCTGATTTGCGTATGGTATCATGAACTCACCCCTCGCCACATGTATTCCCTCATGCACTTTATGCCATGGCAATGTCAAGCAGTTATCAAGGCCAGAGGGGGTACAATCAAATATTAAGACAAGAAATAGACAGAGTGACTACTTTTTGTCAGTTACATTAGTGGCATTATCTTTAAATCTAGAGTTTCTTCCTCAAAGAATATTTTCGTATCTGCTAAGTATATGTTAATCCTCTGCTGTAATATGTTTGTCATTGTTGGTTTGTTAATAAAGAAACATATATGTTTCAGATAAGATATCTTCCCTCCTCTCACAAAAGTTTTTCTTGATTAGTGCTGCCCTCTATTGGCACATATTTTCAATACTCGCCATTAGCCTTTCACCTTCCGCTTCTACATATCCCCATGTAAGTGGTTATGCATCAGCTTTCCATCAGTAGGAGCACAACACCACTCCTATCATAACAGCACCCTCTCCACACTTGCACTCGTTAATCACTTTGAGATTGGTCATAGGGCATACACCACATATCATCAGAACATATAAAAGAGAGAAAAGCATACCTGGATTAGATGTGGTGCAGTTTCCCATTTAGGTGTGATATTTTCTTTTTTGGTTCCACATCTTTGGGCGCTTCCTAAATGGGGATAATTTTTTCACTGGCCCTCCACTAATTCAATGTGGGATTCTAGCTATTTTGTGAGCAGAGGGAAGATATTGTATTGGAAGTTAACATTTTCCTAAGCTGAAGATGTATTTCCAATAGATACTTACCTCGACTCTCATTTCCCACTCAGCCTCCCCACTTCTGTTGATATGTGGTGTAGGTCCTATGACCAATCTCAAAGTGATCAACAAGTGCAAATGTGGAGAGGGTGCTGATTACGATAGGAGTTGCATTGCACTCCTATTGATGGAGAGCTGCTGCATAATAATTTACTTGAGGGAATGCAAAAGCGAGAGGTGGAAGGCTAGTGGTGAGCATTGAAAATTTGTGCCAATTGAGGGCAGTAATAATTGAGAAAAGCTATTTTGTGAGAGGAAGTAAGTATCTATCAGAAATACAGTTTCAGTTTAGGAAAATGTTAAATTTGGATGACTGAAATATGAGTCAGCTTACACCACACTATGTCTATAACCATTTTACATTAATTCTGACACTTCCACAATCCAAGATCTCATAAAAAATTTCAGGAACAAAGAAATGTGTGAAAAGACTGGGTAATGCAATAATTTTTCCACCACAGTAGATTTTTGAGTTTCCTACCTGTAGGTTGCATTTCTGTATTATTAAAGTAACATAATAGAAAAGACACAGGGCATTTTTATCTGTTAGAGTAACATTTCACGCATGTTTAAAACTAGTATTTTTCTGACATTAGTATCCTGGTGTTGCTGAAGGTATTGATAGTGATATTGACAACCTGATGGCGATATTGAGTGTATGGGAGATTTTACCAAAAGGTAAGTGCAGTGTTAATATTATTATTCAATATAATAAAGCATAATGAAATGGTCTTACAGAAATCTAGTTTATTTGAATTTTATGTATAGAATAAATTTGTGAAATCAATTTGCAGACACCTGCTTAAAGCTGTACACAAACAGGAATTATATATGTAATTTTTACTATATGGAACCAAATTTTATGGAGTAAATGTGTTGTTAAAGGGTTTAGACAGACCTGTATGATAAGCTGTTTGTAGCTATATTTCTCTGTTTTGTGATATATTAATGAGTGCTCTGGACTAACCACATCTAAAACTAGGACAAATAAGTTCAGTTGAGTTTGATTACAAAGAAAAGGAATCACATTAAATATATACAGTTTTGTTAAGCCTAATAAATGTAGTGATATTTTTTTTTCCTTACTTTCCTCTTTGTTAATTCACTATAGATTTCAAACAAGAAACATGTATAAATAACATTTCTTCTACGTATAACTTCTCAGAAGGCTACTACTACACTAGTTCTCATGAGCTTTAATATGATAATAGTTAGAAAAACACAGAATTACTGATACTACGTAGTTAAAATATTCTTCCAAAACATACATACCTCTGCTGACACTAATAGCTATTTCTCGATCTAACATTGTGTTTGCTTGCTCCAGTCTTTATATACCCCACTCGACTGCCCTCGGCAATATCTAATTTGCAAAACTTTACACCAGTCCTCACATGCCCTCTATGCAGGTACTGTATATAAGCACTGTATGCAGATAATAAAATCACTTTTACTCAACAAAGCACGAGCATTCAGACTAATGTTTTGTGATTTAAATTTTCTTAGTTTTCGCTTTCTAATAATTGGGAATTCTTTGTTTTGTTATCCAGAGATATATTTCATTGAATTTGTTTTTTGTATTTTCCTACAAATATACCATAAAAAAAGGATATGAATTCCCATGTAATGGTTCCAAGCACAGAGGCTACTCAGCCTTCATCTATTTCTCCCTTTTTTATCTAGTGATGGTCAGCAGTTGGGGGAGGGGGGGCACTCTCCATGGAAGCTATCCGTGACCTGATTCGGGGTGAGATTGAGTCCTTCAAGCAGCCCAAGGGTATATCTCCAGGAAGTGCTGATTTGAATTTCATTCTGAAACAGGATATTCTGGGGAGAATTTAGGCTCCCTCTTTTGTGCTCCTTCTTTCACTAGAGCTTCCTCTTCTGAGGACTCATCTGATCAGCCACCTTCTGACCCCTTTCTGCAGTTAGTTACACATGATTGTGAAGTTTTGGAGATGCAACCAGTTGCTTTTGAGTCTACCCCTGCTTTGTTGTCCGATCGTTCTCAAGGGGATTACTTAATTTCTTCTCCTTCTCCTGATATTGCTGTGCATGCTGGGAGGTTTGCAACACAATTACGTGAGGGTGTTGCTATGCCTCCCCCCCCCTCGTTTATCTGAACAATATGCCCTGGTATATCATCGTCAGGATGATATATATTTGGACACTCAAAGGTTGGATCC